TCTTGATAAAGTAGCAGTGTGTTAATAGTTGCCTTTCCAAATTGATAAGAGCCAAGGACGGATGCTCTGTGGCATGAAAACAATACAGGATTGTTCTGTTTGCCTTCAGTGCACCTTGTCAAGACAGTAGCAGATAAGGCAGAACAAATTGGCTTTCCTCAAAACTTCCCTGATAGCTTCTCCCTTCTGAAGGAAAAACACAAAAACAATAATTTCTGAAGGAATGCTGTAAGTGTATTTTCACACATTTTTGGCTCATTGTGCCTATCAGATATGATAATCACAGAGAATCAAAAGCAGCAGACAAAACTGGGAGAATGAAATACTTCTGAAAACCACAATCTCATAATATTTGTTTAGACGTGTTTCCTAACTTTGAAAGGAAGCTGGATTTGAGGATGAAAAGATTTTCATCCTCAAACCCAGCTTCCCATTTTAAACAGAGGAATTGTTCCCAATGACATTTCAAGTTCCGTTTTCTAGCAGTTGAGCACTTTGCTGGAATTTCAGCAGTTGCCTTTGAGGAAGAGATCCCATTGCACAGAAGATTTTTAGAATCTAACTGTTCTAGAAACTGAGCAACATTTGCAAGCAGATTGTAGAAAGCTGTGAAGATCTGTCTGAAAACCAGTGTCAGTTATAATTACAGAGACAAAAGCTCACAGCCAGCTCTGCTGCTCAGGTTTCCTCACAGAGCTCTGTTTCAGTTGTACAGACAGACAGACTGCAGCTGGCTCTAGGAAAGATGTAAAGAGCTTCCTGATCTCTTCCGCCCATGGTGTGATGGCTCTCCAGTAGTTCCATGACTTCCCAAGGGCAAGGCGTTCTCCACCTAGGTGGTCCAGGGCCTCAGGAGGGTGGGGAAGTGCTGCTTCCCTCTCCCCAGTGGACAAGGACTATGTACCAGCTGTGTTTGGAGAGTGCAGTTCACAGGGACAGTAGGAGATGAAGAAGATCTGTTTGAGCAAGAGCAACCGCGGGAGGCTTGAACAATGTTTAGCGCAGAAGTAGAAAAGTTTTAGCTGTGGAAAAGGAGTGCATGTAACAGAGAGCAGCCATGTTTACCTCCCAGCTAAGCCCACCTGACCCCCTGGTCTTTGATCAGAAAGCAGCTTTGTAGCTCAGGGACAGTCCTCAGGCCTATCCACTCTGGGTTTCTCTCTAACAAAACCAAAGGAGGGTTCAACATGGGGAGAACACCTCTGCAAAAAGGAAAAGACTCTGAGTCTGTTTAACTTGGAAGTGACCAGTTGTTCCTTTCTCTTGCCTGTCCTCCAACGCTTTATTAATAATGTGAAGCAGCAGAATTGAGGAGGAAAGCAATGAGATTTTAGTTCTCTGAGGTCAAAACTTGCTGCCTCATTAGAGAGGTAGTTTTAGTGTTGGAAGGCAGAAGCAGCTCCAATGGATCCTTGGCTTTTCTTGGCAAAAAATTTGCCTCAGCTCTGATGAATATAGGACATAGCTCTTCACATCTAATTTTAAAATTCTGGAAAAAGTAGTTTATGTCTGTTTCTGCTCTAGGAGAGGAAAAATTTGAGGGGGAGAGACAGAAAGAGAGACAGTGAAATTTGCGGTTCTCTAGCTGAGAGGTTCCAAAACGTAAGAGACTGTCGGGACAAGAAGTTCAATAAGGAATTTTTAAAGCATTTCCTGATGAAAAAAAAAAACCTTATAAAAATAATTCTCAGTCTTCAGAAAATCCACGTGGAAATGTAATTCTTCCATGAGGACTTTATATATTAGGTTGGCATCCTGAACCAAGCCACTGGAAGGCAAGGACCACCCTTGACACCAGTCCAGCTCTGGGGCCAAGTCTGTTGGACACCTGTGTGGCTGTGCTGCCCCTGTCTGAGGCTGCCCACTGCTTCCCACCATGAGCCTGTGCTCCAGTTGTGCTTCTGACTGGCACACATTTGATGTTCAGGCTGAAACTTTCCATACCAGATGTCTGCCTCAAAATTATTTTAATATTGTTTTTGCTTTCTCTGTCAAAATGGTTTGACCGCAGTGGAGGATGAAGCTCCTCCTTTATCTGTGCAAAAAATTTTTCTGTTTCCCTACTGTGAATCACAGATGTGAATTTTTGATACCTGAGGAGCCTTCTTTTTTGCCTCAGATGTGTACACTGCTATCTTTGAAAAAAGTCCACTTAGCCCTCCCGGGGCTTTGCAGCAGTCAGGTCCTGTGCTGGTTCCATTCAGGAGCAGAGTGGGACCTGGGTGCAGGCCACCCATGGGTGCAGGTCCAGCCTATGGGGCTGAGAGCAGGACCTGCCCTTCTTCCCCCCCAGGTCACAGGCATCTGGCATCCAGGGACAGGAAGCTGCTGGATTTGCCTGCGGGAGGGAAGGAAATGAATACCCATGGAGGAGGGCAAGGCCTGGCCAAGGAGGCTGAGATCATCTTTGGAGATAAAAACAAAAATGGGTCAGGAAAAGGAAAGTTGGGGCAGTGAAAACCACAGGGACAAAGAAGGGAGCTGTGGATGGAGAAGGGAAGGGGGAACCATGGTCCGATATGACTGAAAAACAAAAGTGTCCATTAGGGCTGTCTCTGAGGAACTGAGGGTCTGTGGCAGAAGAAGGATGTCCCCATCCAGGAGGAAGCAAGTGGGAAGGAGGGTGATACTTGGAAAGCACAAGAAAGAGACCAATTGGAAAACTGAGTCCCTGAGTCCTGGAGGTGAGGGAACACAGGCCAAGAACTGGGAGCAGAACAGGTTGGGAATGGAGAGAGGAAAGAAGAGGTCTGGCAGGCAAGGAATACATGTACATGGTGGGGAAAAGGGATTTGTGTGCTCAGAAGAGGATGGAGTTTCTGAAAGGTTAGGAAAAGCCAACTGCCATGGAGATGCTGGATCACAGCAGCTTGCACATAAGCTTTTAACATTCATACCTTTAATCAGGATATTTGAAGGGGAAAAGAAAGTATTTAAACCCTTAGCCCCCCGAAATTCTTGCATGATACCACACTGATGTCACCTGATGGTTTGAAGCATAAAGAACTTTAAAATGTCAGGTGTCCCGGGCAGAGCTCACCTAACTTGGATTCATATAACAGGGGGCAGAGCAGGTTGCTGGTTCTTAACCCTTCCTAGGTCTCATCAGTTGTGTATAAGCTGCATCCTGACCTTGTGGGTTTTATCCAGGCAATGTTGCTGTTGATCTTAAAGAACTTTAAAAAAAACGATGTAGGGTAAGTGAATGCAATACATCATTTCTGTGTACTGCAAATTCAATTTGAGGTGTAAATGGTAAAAATAATCATAACCCTGTGTGCCATCCAACACTGTAAAATGAAGCACGTTTTGTGGTGTATTTCCACATGGGTACACACAGAAGCCCACAGGTCATACAGGAGAAAACAACCCAGACAGAAAGCTAACACTCTATGTGGAATAACAAATGGTTTAGCCAAAAGCCTCTGTCTATACCAAAGCAGTCTTTTCTTTTTGGCAATCAGCAGCCAATGCAAGTGAAATACAGCATTTGGGTGTGATACCTTTTTGAGTGTGACCTGTAAGATTTCTTTAAGATAGCTCTGGAAACTCTCTGTGAGTTACTTCAAGAACAGTAGCCTGTAGCTAAGCTGGCTGCTTGACAGTGGTAACCAAATTTCAGTGAAAATAATCACAATTGCACCTATGTTGGATGGACAATCCTGTCACAGTGAATGAACTGTAAGCTAGTATAAGCTAGCAAGAAGATCTCTTGCATTTACTCTAGGCAAAGTGGATATGGATTCAAAGTTTACAATGAAAGGGCTTTCTAGTGGTTTTACTACTGTGCCGAATAAACTTGCATCCCACATGTGGCTAGAATTATCACCCCTGCCAATTATGAAATGGTTACTGTTCTGTGTTAGAAAGCACGTTCTGCTTTAAATGAAGTGATTCCTGCAGGTACAAAACCAGTGATTTGTCATGCAGTGCACAAAGTTAATGCATTAAACAAGGCTTGTTACTCTGGTCCTAATGCCTTCAAAGCATTGATTGCTGAGGTTGTAAATTAAAAGCTTGTGAGCAGTCAGCAGGCATCAGTCATCCTGAGGCACACACTGCTCACCACTGCTGACTTACTGGGCTGGCAGCAGCAGTCTGCAATTAGGCACACAACTTAGCATTTCTTTCCTAAAGCACAGGTCAGCATGCAGCAGGCTCACAGGATAGTGTGTGGCCATTGCTTGCAAGCAGGAGGTTTTCTGAAGTGGAAAAAAAAAATTAGCTTGTTTTCTTCTGCTAGTGAAAAACAAATAATTTGTTCTGGACCACACACTGAATTAATCATTTTTGGACAGACTGCACGTGTAGAAACTTGTTCCAGTTTTTGTTCTGATTATTCTAAATGATTGTCCTGGATGTTCTCACATTGTCTCAAAGCCAGACCTGAAAAATCCTACTCTCATGGTGAGGGTTCAGCTTAAATTTTGTTTCATGTACTATATTCAGAAGAAAAGTTAATTTCCAGGCAATGTGCTCTATTATTACTAGTTGCTGTTTATTTTAAAATCCTATATAACTTTTTCTAATGAAGGAAAAGAAAAATGTTTCTCTGATATCTGCCAAACAAGTGAACAACTGATAAACACGTGTTCTTACAGGGAAAATTTCTATGCCAGCATACTAATTCCTGCAGTTATAAATACCTGAAATAAAAAAGTGTAATTACCAAATATTCTAAATACTCTGACTCATGCTTTTTTTTCAGAATTTTCTTTGATTTTCCATAACTGAAACTAAAATTTTAACTCAAGAACAAAGTGCACAACAAGTACTTAATAACTAGTAAAAAAAAAATTAAATAGAGAATATGGATTTAAGTTCCTTGTAGATTCATTTTCCTCTATGGCTGCCAAACATCTCTGCAACTAAACCATTACCAAACAAAAAACCAACAATCCATTACCAAAACAGCAAGAAACCCACTACCTTGCACATGAAATGCAGCTAATTCTGGAAATTTGTATTATTAAGAATCACAGTAAATAAAGTTCACTTACCTTCACAGAACCATTCTCATAGTCAGATCCTTGCAGCAGATGTAGAAAAGAAATTATGAAAATATTCACAGTTGCCCACGGTTTGTACATTCTGATGTTTAAAATCCACAGGTTACTGCGCAGTCGTTGTTGTGCAGCTGGAAGTGTCTCTTTCAAAAGGCATTTCTCTACCACCAACACAGAAAAGCTTCCAGAATTTCTCTCATAAACTCACAAAGGATTCCAACATCTGAGAGTAAAAATCTGTCTCTTTGCTGCTCAAAACAATTGTAAGTTCCTCTAGAGAATGTAATTTCTTAAAGCAGATCTTAGATACACTTGAAATAAAATCATGATAAGATTTTAAATAGATATGTATCTGTATGTGTACACATACGCACTCACAAGCGATCAGGTATGGATTCCAGTTAATGAAGTTAATATATCTTCCATCAGGACACAAGGAGACATTCAAAATCCATCTGTGGTCCAGAAAGGGTAAGAAATCTGCTCGATTCTGTGCTCGGTGTTACAGCAGGCTGTTCAGATGGTAGTGTAATGGCCAGTGTTTGGAGCCGAGAGCTGTAATCCAACTCTGTATGAAAACTTTTTTCACAACCTTCATGGAAGCTTGCAGAAGCATGTGTCTTAAATCTGATACAGACTTTGGCAGTAACGCAGGCAAATTTTGGCTCAAATCCCATTTTCTTCCTACCAATAGCATAGCAGTTTTTAAACTAACTGATGCAATCTAGACTGCCATTATTTTAAAGGAGATTACCTGAAACATGAAACTTTAGCACACGTTCTTACACCACACACATATTTTATGTTACTTCTCTGAAGGACAAAAAAAAAAAAAAAAGAGGGCAGGAAAAGAAAAGAGAAAGGCTTTCTTTCATGTGTTCTATCTTATGTGTCAAAGGGGTTTCTGCATACAATTTTAAAAAGCAAAGTTAAGAACTATCTCTGACAACAAACAAGATTTTGATTTTTTAAAAGAAAGCTCATGAAGCTGCAGTATAAAAGGACAAAATCTCTTTTTATTGCAACAAAACACAACCAGCATTTCTGCTCCAAGATAAGTATGTATTTTCTCTGTATATTCCTGCAGTTTAAAACAAAAAATTAAAAACAGAGATCAATCATTTCAAATTATAGTGGGGACAAAGACTCCAATAATTATATATGTTAAATCTATATTGCTGTACTCATATATAATGTGTTCAGGAGAATAGTTCCACTCTCACAGGTTTTAGTGTTTGCAGAATCAGACATCACAGTTGTTAACATAAAACAGTCAAGTACATAATTCTTCAGAGTCCTGGTTTCCTACCTCTGATGTCCAGACAAGTGCTGTCTTAAATACAAGTTACACTTCTCTACTTACCATTAGGTTGAATAATTTCTTCTTCAGTATTGACCACAAATGGACCTTAGCAAGAAAATTATTTTAATCCAGTCTTTCCAGTTGTTGTCTGTTAACTGTCATTAGCTTTTAAAAAAACATATGTAACTCTATAATTTTTTAGCTTTGTCTTTTCCCACTTGATTTGTGAAAGCAATCTATTTCTCTTTTTTTTCTTCCTCCCCCACCCAGGCCACACTGGTTAGTCCAAGGACAGCAGGAATTTCACCTCTTTGAAAGGAGAGCAAAAAAGCTGCTTTGTCAGTGTACCTGCTGCTCCCCCCCATACCTCCCCTGTCCCCAGCTGCCAGAGATATTCACAGTTTTGCACAGCCCACGCTATGGGGGCCATCCTGTGTCTGCACTGTAGGTTATAATTAACATTCTTTCAACTATTTCATTCATCATTTTAAATTATTGTGTTATCTAATGTTTATGAAAGGTCACCTTGACCTCATTTAATGTCTCTGGCTTGCTTTTGATACTAATATCCATCCCCTTGCAGGAGCTGAAAGCCTGCTAACAGGAATGGATATGCCTCAGCCTCGGATGCACAGCTTCCGAGTAAGAGATCAAACCAAAAATAACCTCTGTGGGCTCAGGACTACATGAAAATAACTTTATATCATCCTGCAGTTAACTGGAGGGAGTGTCTGGCCATACTCACCACTCATTTATGGGATCATATGGAGCACAGACCTGGAACCACAGGAGAGTCAAGAAGCAATATGTGCCTCCACAGGACGTGAGTGGGATCCTTACAGAGCCTGTCTCCAGCACAGTTCAGGGATGAGCTGCTCTGTTCCCTGGTAGGGCTGGTGCCAAATGCCCACAAACTGCCCTTAAGGGACTCTAAGCAATCTAGCATCAGAAAATTAAGCCTGTTTGGTTTGGAAATGTTGGAGGGAAACACCTCTGTAGTATTTTCTGTATGTTGTAGCTCATCGCTGTTACTTACCAAATTCAGCTCTGAATTACAAATTACAATGTTTGGAAAAACCAGGCCTGTGTCCTTCTCAAAGCAAACCATTTATCAGAAAAGGTCACCCACCTCTGGCCTCAGGAAACTTTTTGGCAGGAAGACTGAAGTGACCCTCAGGCACTGAATCAAACTCGTTTATACCAGAGCAAGTTAGATGCTGCAGGCAGAACACAAAAAGTACCAAGTCTCTCCCTTAGGACTCAGACACAAAGACTGGCAAATAAAGGGAAAAACCCTCTTGTTAGCTGCAGAGAATTTTAAAGCTGGCTCGAAGCTGCTAGTGAAAGCAAAGGCAAAGCAAGAGAAACCAGCTGGTAGGACAGGAGAGCAACTCAGATAATGAATTTCTGGGAAACTTTTTTCACCGTCTGTATCACTGAGCTCATCCCATTCCCTATGGTTCTTGTCTCTCTCCTCAATTCCAGATAAGAATCAGTTCTCCCTTCAGCACCACCTCAGCTCTGCTCCTTACACAGCTTTCTTATGATTTTTCCTGCCTAGTGTTTGAGAACAATTTAAATACTTTTGTGCTGGAGCTCGATCTCAGAAGTATGGGTGAGATTATATTGCAGACTGCCTGCAACAGCAGTGAACAGACTTGCTGTCTGGCCAGACACCTCTGTTTTCATTTAATTTATGAACATAAGTTACCAATACACACACTCTAGGTTCTTCTTTTATCTCAGTTAGCTGTTGTGGAACCACCTGCTCAGTTCTGTGCAGAACTTGGGGTTTGTATTTCTTTTGAAATCTAGCACTCTCTAAAAAGAGGCTTAAATAAAATTTATATGACTATTTAAATTACTTTTGCAACTGAAAAATCAGCTCCACAGACATCAGCAATACTAAATACTGCAAAATGAACTGAAATTTCAAACATTTATGCTACCTTTGGGTAGGCAGCTAACACATTAATATTGTGGCAATGAGTCAGCTCTTTGCAAAAAGAGCTTAAATTTTGTTTAGTTAAATCTGTTTCTAGTGTTGATCAACACTGATGTCTGAAATGGATGAACAATACAGATTAAAACTTTAAAACTATTTATCTACAGGTATTATATATGATTTTTTTCAATAACATTTGAAGTATGAGTCTTTCTTCCAAAGTAGTTGTCCCACATTGCAAAGAAACCTGGAACTACTGATTCCTATTGTCTGTTTTTGTGATGGAAGACAACATATAAATGCCCCAGAACTTGGTAAATGAATGGATTAATCATCATTTCTTGGTACTTTTATGATAGGATAGGCAGACTAAGTGCAGTATATTTACTAGAATTCCTCACCATGATGCATTGGGGTTTCTACATTTGGACTTTGCTGCACATAAAGAGAAACAAGGCCAGTACAGATGACTAAAACTGAAAAACTAGCATCATATTTAACTCATGCATTTCTTGCATGCACATCCAAGGAACAGAAGAATTTCCTGAAAGTGCTGAACAACTCATGTTCTTCAAGCTGAAATCTTTTCAGGTGAGACAGTAAATTCCTTCAGCAATCTGAAATTAACTTAGACCTGCAGAAAGGCCCATACTAGTGTCATTTTTAGCCAGAAAAAATTAAAAGGGAACACCTCAAACAAACAAAAAAAATATCTTCATTTGGAAAAATGTAACAAAACACCAAAGGAAGATATTTCAGGCTTTTAACACAAGAGTAAGCCACAAATCAATAGGGCTGCTTAGATCAGGGAAGGTTTGTGAGGATATGCCCTAAATAAACACCAATTAAATTGATCAGTTTGCAAAGTTGAAATTGGAGATTTATAAAGGAAGTTCACAGCCTTTACTTCAAACAAAGTATTGTTTCACCAGCTACTTCACACTTGAAAACTCTACACCATTAGAAGTTCCAGTATGGCACAATGTTCAGAATAATATAATTCCCAATGAAGGTCATTAAGTATTTTCAAGATGATTCTATAAGTAGATCTGCTCATTCCCTCTAACTAAAACATACACAGACGAACTTTTTTTCTTGAAAACTACATAGAAAAAGAAAAACTGAGAGAGTTTATAAAATTGCAAATAAGGACCTAACTTAGATTTAATAAACATTCATGACATAGCAGTTATATGGCAATCCAGTAACTTAGTGCACATTATTAAACTAATTATCAAGTAATTATTAAATTAAAAACATTTTTTGAAATAAAAAGCCATTTATTAAATTGGCTACTGGTATCAGAAATTTCTGTGAAATAGCAGAATGCTTGAAACATCACACTAATGCTAAGCTGGATTGATAGAACTTAGGGAAAAGAAGAAAAGCCCCATGCACAGAATCTCAGATTCAGAGGACGAGGAGATTCTGCCAAAGCTGGGCTAGCGGGGTGATGGGGACAGCACCACAGAGCCAGACCCAGAGCCATCCCTCTCACCAGCCCCAACACTGCTTCATCTCCTCGGGTTCTTCTTTAGTTAATTAGATCATTTAATTGTCTGCTTGCTGCAGCAAACTGGAGCTCCCAGCAGGATGCAAAACCGGCCGGGGAAGAGGGGAAATCCCAGTGGGAGCCTCTGCTGCGCTCTGGGCTGCGGTGGCTAAACTGCTCTCCACATCTTCATCTAGCTGGCTGAAAGTTCACCAGGGAGTGTCTACACAGGCTACAAACACACCTTGGCTGAAGGGCAGGCATACTCCCAGCTCCCCACAGCATCCCCTGGCTCAGCCCTCCCCTGCTCCAGGGAGGGACGCCCTTGTTAATGGAGGAGCGCTGTCAGCAAAAGGCAGATACAAATCACAAACAAACACTTTGTTTGTTGAGCTTCTGAGAGATGTAAACACT